GGATTGAACCCCAGGTCGTGAGCACAATTTTGGCTGCAGTACAGCAGTTCAACCACTGTGCCACAAGGAACTTTTGTATACAAATTATCTGTACATTTGTGTAATAATATTACACCACTGTAGCCTGCAAGGACTTCTGTCAAATTGAATTTGGCTCTAGTGCAAAAAAAAAAAATTCCCCATTCTTAGAATACAAAATACTTTGCAAACCTAAATAAATAAATAAACTAGGACAAACTGAATTTCTATCATTGAGTGAGAAGAAGGGGAGAAATGGGGAGAAGAGGCAAAAAAATATCAATACATGAAATATGTACATACATAGAGTTTATTTCCATTGAGGGTGAGTGATTTGGGTTAAGCAAAATATTTTACAGAAACAATAGGAATTGCATCAATATTAGATGTATGTGGCATGGTCCACACATAGAGTTTATTTCCATTGAGGGTGAGTGATTTGGGTTAAGCAAAATATTTTACAGAAACAATAGGAATTGCATCAATATTAGATGTATGTGGCATGGTCCACACATAGAGTTTATTTCCATTGAGGGTGAGTGATTTGGGTTAAGCAAAATATTTTACAGAAACAATAGGAATTGCATCAATATTAGATGTGGTATGTGGCATGGTCCACACATACAAGCTAAACAAAAATAACACCCCCAAAAAAGCCAATCCTAGCTTAAAAATAGCTTAATTGGTACAATAAAACACAATTCCAGATACAAGCATGAGGCTAAAGTATCTGTGTCTGGTTTACTTAAATGCTTGTGCAAAGTGAGAGTGAAGAAGCACATTGGACTAGCACACAGTGCATACAAGTGTTGATCCAAGGAGCAAAACCCTCTTTGTGCAGATGTAAGACATAATTACACCTGCATGAATGTGGTAGGCATTGTGTCCTGTGATACGGACTTTCATAATTTGATTGCTGATTCAGTCATGGGTTTCCCATTCTGAGTTGTTTGATGCACTGGCAGAAATGCTCTATGAATAGCACTTCCACCTTGGTGCTATTCTAGCTAATACGGACATAATGTCAAGTTACGCTTCAGAGCTACACAAGAGGATTTTGCCCATTAAATTAAGATGTGTGTGCTTAAAGTGATACATATGCATTATTACCCATCTGCTGATGAAACATTGGTGTTTTTTTTCCCCCAGGGTCATACTGATGAGCTTTGGGGTCTAGCAGCCCATCCATCCAAACCTCAGTTCTTCACTTGTGGACAAGACAAACACATCACACTCTGGGATGCCATCAGTCACCATCCAATCTGGAATAAAATTATAGAGGTATGAGGTCATCCTGCCCACCCCTTTCTTTGTGCATTAGATAGTTTTAAGTCTTTAAATCTTTATGAAGTGATTTGAGCTTGCCCTTCAGTGGGCACCAAATAGGAAAAATAACTCTCTGATAAAGGTTAAAAATTAATGGTCATCTCAAATTAATGTTAATTTTGTCTGTTGGGAATGATGGTTGTGGGTAATTTTGCAGCAGATCAACTGAAATATATTTTGTTAAGCTTGTTAGACCTAGGGGTCAAGTGCCATTTAAAATACATATCAATAGACTAATGTAGAACAATTCCCATCATATATATGAGGAACATTTTGTTGAAATGCCTAGAAGAACGATTTGGTCAACAATAGGCCTATCAGCTGCTGTGGAGGGGGGGGGCAAGTTTCTTTAAAGCGTCTTCTATGTTCACACACGATTTACTCAGGCTAGCATAGTTTTCATATTTGTTGCCTATGCAGAAGTCACTCTGAAAGCCAGAGGTGAGCAGTTTTGAATGATGTTGAAGTTGGTTGTTGTGGGTTTTTTGGGCTCTTTGGCCGTGTTCTGAAGGTTGTTCTTCCTAACGTTTCGCCAGTCTCTGTGACCGGCATCTTCAGAGAACATGTGCTACTCCTGCCCTCTGAAGATTCCGGCCACAGAAACTGGCAAAACGTTAGGAAGAACAACCTTCAGAACATGGCCAAAGAGTCCGAAAAACCCACAACAACCATTAGATCCCGGATGTGAAAGCCTTCGCGAATATGACGTTGCTTTTCTAATGAGTACTATATCTAAAAGTATACAATATCTAAATCTTACGCCATCTGAGAGCTCTTTTTTCGTAGTCTACTTATCTCATTATTCATATAGTACAGTTTATGATGATTTCATACTAGATTAAACTGCTGTGGCTTCTCCAAATAATTCCAGGAATTTAAGTATGCTGAGCCTGCTGAAAATTCTCTTGTAGAGACCTCTAAACCTTCTGAGAGATGTCTTCCTAAAGAGAATAACTATTGAAATGGGTAGTATAGATGTACTCTCAGAGACTGCTTGGAGTTCTACAGATTTGATAGATGAAGTTATTCAGTTTTTCCTGTAATAATGACTGCCATGTCTGTCATAACTTATGTAGCCCACTTGACCTCTTTGTAGAGTATAAGCCAAATGCAGTATGAGCAGATATCAGGTTACAAATAGCAAGTCTGATGACATAAGGAGTTTTTATTTCAAGAATGGTATGCTTCAACTTAAGAGACTCTTAACATTTGAAATCCCATCCAGAGCAACACTGTACAGGCATTCGTCCAAGCTGTATATACCTTCTGAGTCTTGGCCATTTCTGAAGTTACAGTTCAGTTCCCTTATAGTAAATTTCAGTTTGGCAAATTGCTGTCTAAGCTTTTAAGTGTGATCTTATATAGTTTATGAACAGTCAGATGTTTTTAAACCTGAGAAAATGGCTAATCATTTTCAGTTCAGTGCTAGAATGATAAGGACAAATTGATACTTTTTATTAGGTCAAAATAAAAATACAGTTTCTGTTATGAACGTTGCTCGGGGTGTCTTTCAGATGAGTACTGGATAATTGTGTTCTTTCTCTCCAACTTCCTAATTGTGTTAGCAAATGATAACAGAGTGCTGTCCTCTGAAGGTGCCGGCCGCAGAGACTGGCAAAACGTTAGGCAGAACAACCTTCAGAACACGGCCAAAGAACCCGAAAAACCCACAACAACCACTAGATCCCAGCCGTGAAAGCCTTCGTGAATATATTAGCAAATGATAATTAAATAATAGGATTGACAGCAAAATATTGTGGCAAAGTACAGTGGTGTCTCGCTTAACGACGATAATCCATTCCATTTCACTGTTAAGTGAAAACATCGTAAAGCGAAATTAAAAACCCCATTGAAACGCATTGAAAACCATTCAATGCGTTCCAATGGGGTAAAAACTCACCTCCATATGGCGGCCATTTAGAGTCATTGCACATACAGAGTCATTGCAGAGGTTCGAGTCATTAGTCACTCATTTATTCATTAATACTAAGAAATTAAACATAAAATATATTATCTTTATTCATATTATGTTACTTAACACTTGTGTGTTCCTTTTTATAGTTAAACTATATTTTGTAGTTTTATACCTGCTTCTTAGTTAGCTTACTTAACTAGTTAATTAACTAATACTGATTAATAACTATTTAATTAATTAATACTCGTCAAAATTAAACATAAAATATATTATCTTTATTCATATTATGTTACTTAACACTTGTGTGTTCCTTTTTATAGTTAAACTATATTTTGTAGTTTTATACCTGCTTCTTAGTTAGCTTACTTAACTAGTTAATTAACTAATACTGATTAATAACTATTTAATTAATTAATACTCGGAGTCTTCTCATGGCCAAAGTACTGGAGCCTCAGCTTCAGGATCTGTCCTTCCAGTGAGCACTCAGGGTTAATTTCCTTTAGAATTGATAGGTTTGTTCTCCTTGCAGTCCAGGGGATTCGATTCT